GGGGCCAGATGATTCGATTCGTTTCCAAGGTCAGTTTCCTCCGTGATGTTTTTATTAGTAAGCATTAATCACATGTGTAACGGGTTTTTATCGTGACGTATAAAACAGCTCTTTGGTTTAGCTAAGGCCCTGGCTTTATTTGCATAGAGCACTCTGAAGCTTGGTAAGTATGTAAGTTCCGAACATTCTCATTAGTGATAAAAATAAAAACTCATCTTAAACCAGCTTCGGTAAGTAACGGGAATCTGTTTGTTCTGTTGTCCACGGGACAAGGCAGGGAGTGGCTGGGAGACAACCAGGCCACCCAGGTCTCTGTCCTGACAGGCCTCTCCTTGCCTCTGTCTCTTGTATTTTTATCTCTCTCCCCGCCCCGTGAGTTTCAGCACCACATTTCTTCCAGACAAACCTCCTTAGCTGGATGAAAACAAAACTTTGAAGAGCTTCCTTGCCTGGTTTGCATGGTGTCAAGGAACACAGTCCTGTGTGTGGCACTCACTAGAATTTCCATCTCAGGGAGAGGAGCTCCCAGAAAGAAAGGGGTCAGCATTTCTAGAGGGAGAGGGCTACCCGCCATCGCCATGCTGAAAGGTTAGCCTGAGCGGGTGACTGAGCGGTGTCCCTGACTGAGTGATGCCTTCCACTAGGGAAGACACACGTTTACTGTCCCCTGGCTTAAAGGGGACGGCAGCCTTTGTTAATCTCTAGCTGCATCTCGCTAGCACCTGGGCACACAGCTGCTGACCAACCCACTGTCCCTACAAGCCCCCCCCGCACTCCAGCTGGTGAACTCGAGCATTGGATTTCGCAGGCCTACGAGAAGGTGCTAGAGTGCCGTAGGGAGACTTTTTTGACTTTTCACACCCCATGACCACATCTCTTGTGGAAACATTCCTCCTTAGTAGTCACAAGCCTGGTCCCAATCCCAGCACCACAAGTAGCAGATCTAGAACACTCCAGGGTTTCTCACAGCCCAGTAAGTGAAGTAAATAAAAAATGAGACAAATCTTCATTAGACTAAAAAAAATAACTCAATTGGATCTTAGCCAATCGTGGTGGCATACAACTTTAATCCCAGTACTCAGGCAGACACAGGTAGATCTCTGTGGGCGTGAGCTAGCCTGGTCTACATAATGAGTTCCAGGACAGCCAGGGCTATGTTACACAGAGAAACCCTGTTTCAAAGGAAAAAAAACAAGAGAAGAAAAACGAATTAATTTCTTGTTTTCTCTGTATTTCTGTTTTCTCTGCCACTCATCCACATTTAATTAAGCAACATGTTACTAAATGTCTCCCCTGTGCCCAGCATGGTTCTAGAGCATGATGCAGTCCCCGTTGCGAATGCAGAGCGCAAACCCTTTCAGTGGATGTTCAACTCCAGTGACCCCCACGTCAGAGTCTCCCGACCCCACAGCCACCTCCTCCCTAAGAGCTTCCTTAATCCTTTCTACGCCTTTGGCTCTTTCTCACGAGAACCACACTTGCCTGAGTGAGAAAGTCTAGCAATTCCACGGCAGCTCCACTCCTGGGCTGGAGTTTCCAAGGGGCGGGGGAGGGAGACAGAGAATGGCTGAGTGTGTGCTAGTGAGTGAGAACCGTGCTCTGAGGTGACAGCCAGCAGACAGCCAGGAGAACCATGCTCTGAGGTGACAGCTAGCAGACAGCCAGCACTCCTCGGGATACAGTTATCCTGTCTTTTCCTGAAGTACTTTCTCAGAAGATTGTGTGTGTGTGTGCACATGTGTGCCTGTGTGTGTCTGAGTGTGGGCACACCTGTGTGTGTGCGTGCGTGTGTGTGTGTGTGTGTGTGTGAGTGTGTCTGAGTGTGGGCACACCTGTGTGCATGTGTGTGTCTGACTGTGGGCACACATGTGTGTGTGGATGTGTCTGAGTGTGGCACATGTGTGTGCATGTGTGTGTCTGAGTGTGAGCACACCTGTGTGTGTGTGTGCAGGGGCACATGCTTGTGAACATGCACAAGCCAGAAGGGACACTGGATTCCTCAGAGTTTCTCTGGCTTGTTATGAGCACGCTGGATCCTGACCCTGGCCCTCAGGAGGGAGCAGCAGTTGCTCCTAACAGCTGTGCCCTGTCTCCACCCTGTAAAGGAGGGACTTGTAAAGTACTTTTCATCGTTTCACGGTCTGAAGAAGGGAATGGGGCGGGGACAAGGAGGCAATAAGGTAAGAGACAATGAGGCATGAGCCTCACTGAGGAGAAGAAAGGATGGCTGGGGACTCATCTGGGCATCAGGACTCCCCTTGGCTAGGGAAGCCCTGGAGTCCTGGGGCCCCTGGGTGACATCGAGCCTTGGCCTGTGGTTTAGTGAGCAGTCACAGCAGCCGGTCCCTGTTGTGCCTCTACCTGGAATGTCATCTTGAGGTTTTCCCTCAGTGCCTGCTTATTATCTCTCACACCCATTTTCGCTTCAACTGAGGCTGTTGAAGACTTCTGTCTCAAGTGAACTGACACCTTCGGGTATACTGGCATCCTTCTAAAATCCATTTCTCTTTCATGACATTTTAATGTGAAAGTAGTGTATATGCAATCATTGGGATCAGACAAGTGTCCTGCAGGATATCCGGTGTCTCTATCAACAGCATTTGGCAAATGCGTACCTGCCAATCGGGAAACCCGGCTAATGTTCTAGCTAATCTACACGACCCACTTGAAGTTGGAGTTGTGTTTTCCAAGCTGGCCTGGAAATGAAAAATGATGCGTTTTATACTTGGAAACTGGGAAGGAAGGACGCTGGCTTGAGAGACCCTTCCCCTCACCCTACCCCCGCCAGGCTCTTGTGTCTGGTTCCTAGTGGGGGGTGCTGTTTGAAGAGGTTACAGAACTTTTAGGGGTGTTGTTGTTGAGGAAGCAGGTTGCTGGGGGCAGAGTCTAAGGTTTTATAAGCTGGGCTGTTTCCTGTCCACACTCACTCACCTGACCTGTGAAAACATGAAGGAGATCCTCACACTCATGCGGTCGCTCAGCCTCCATGCCTTCTTCCCCAGAAGAGCTGCTCCCCCAGACCCCAAGGAAGAAGAAAGCTCTCTTCCCTGACAGGCATGTGGGCCTGAAGGAGAAGAAACTCGAGGAAGTGTCTGCAGAGTTACCTAATTCCATATGCCTTAAAATTCTCTTTGAACGTTAGGGAACATGTCCAGAAAGTGCTGGAAATCAACCTGTCATTTAACCTTACAGGGAGTGTGCTGGAGCCCACAAATCAGACCATGGCTAGACTGAACATGAACATGCCATCCTTAACAAGAATCAGCTCCGGTATCATGTCCCAAATTTTTCTTTTAGTCCAGGAGCCACCAGGTATGGGTGAGTTTTGCTGAGTTTTGAGTTCTGTGGATCAGAAGTCCTCAGACACTGGGAGACTGAAATAGAGCTGTTTCTTGAGTGACGGAGATTGTGATAGTTAATTTCTATGGTCAGCTTGACTAAGAAATACTCAGAGTAGTTATGCAGCAGACAAACCTTGGATGTACTTTCAAGACCTTTTAGAGAGGCCCTCTGAGGGAGGGTGGTCCCAACCGCCACGACCACTCTCTAACAGCGGTGACCTCTTCAGCGGGATGATGCTGAGAACAGGAGGTCAGGAGGTAGAAACCAGACAGTCAGGGGCCCCCAAAGCAGACATTCCAGAAGCATCTAAGATTTTTTTCTGGCTGGAAACCGGGGGTGGGGGAAAGGGGGAGCCTTGTCCCCAACAAGCATCCTGCCTGAAGTCTGTGTGTAAGGTAGGGACTGGAACTCCAGACCACAGACATTACTGATCCCTTCAGGCGGGTAGCTTGGGAGGAGCTGGACTTTGGTGGTGAGAATGGGTTGTGCCAGCCCACCTCCCTAGTGATTTCAGGGTTACCTCTTCAGCGTGGGGCAGCGCACAGGGGCAGTAGAGGCCTACTGAGGGGGAGTTAGTTCCTTCCAGTCAAGAGGGAAAAACCCTGATCCAAGTGGAGATCTAGCATTGCAGCTGAGTTGGCCAACGACTGGGCTAAGGGACCGCCTCTAGGATGGTGGGCTCGCCTTAAGTCCTGCTCATGGTGGAATGATTACCTCTTTGATAAGGCCATGCGCTTCCCCTCCCTGGAATCCCTGCCCCAGTGCCGTACTTCCAGGACTGTGGTCCTGTGGCTTCATCAGTCTACTTTGCTGAGCCTACTATTTCTCTTTCCTTTTCTGTCTGTGCTCTGAGCCTTCTCGCGCATTTTGGGATTCCTTGTTCTTTTGCTAAAGCTCCCTGCCTTGCGACTGATGGGCCTCTGTGCTGCTTTGTCCAAAGGGCGTGACCTTTTCCTCTGTCTCCTCACCCTCCTCATTTGCAGCTGGTGAGGCAGGTAACTGATTGCCCTGGGGTCTTTCTTTTAAACTGGGTAAAACTATCCTCAGACTTCCAAAGGGATGGGGGAGACTTGGGAATAAAGACACACAGAGGGACAGAGGGACAGGGAGAAAGAGGTAGAGAGAAGAAAAGACAGACACACAGAGACAGTGAGTCGGGGCAAGGAGACAAAGATAGGGAGTACGAAACAGAGGAAAAAGACAAGAGAGAGACAGAGACACAGACAGAGAGACAGAGGCCTAGGACACCATCGAGATACGCTTCTAATGTCTATGAAGGCTTCTCCTCAGAAAAGACTAACCGAGAAAGACCACACTAAAATGGGTGGTTAGAGCTCCAGACCGAGTGAAAAGAGAAAGACGGTTGGGAGCCGGCGTCCCTTTCTCTGCTTCCTGGTCTTTGGTGGTAGAGCAAGCATCCCCCCTCCATCACAGACGGGCACTGGTCCTGCTGTCCTGCCTTCCTGCCAAAATGGACCCTTAGACACAAAACCCTTAAAGAACCACAGCTTCGTTCCCTAACTTGCTCCTTTCCAGTGTTCAGTCACAACCCACTCCAAGTCAGAGCTGGAATTCGCTCCCTTTCTCTGACCGATGCCCTTAGCAAGCCTGAAGTTTGAAGAGGACCGACAGGCACCCCCACAGAACTCTCTTTTATTTAGGTGTCTCCTCCTCCCCCCACAACCGTGTGTTTCAGAGGAGCTGCCCCCACCCCAGGCCTACGGATTGGCTCGACTGACCTCACTCATGCTTGGGTCAGTGTTGGTCACACGACTCAGCTCTGGCTGGTAATTTAGACACACGGCAGGGTGACCGAGGCAGGAAGGGGTCTCCAGGGGGGTGTTTCTGGGGTACAGCTGTGAAGCTGGGTGTCCCTCTTCTTCCTCTCAGTGCTTCTGTAACCTGGATGTAGTACCTGGACCCCCACTGTACTCGAGGAGGATGCCGGCTGAGGGGGAAGTGTAGCCGTGTTCAGAAGACCCCAGGTCTCCATGACCACGGCGAGGCACCGAATCAGCTGACTCCCTCTGGATTTCCCTTGCAAGATAATAAATTTCCCTATTGTTAACACCATTGGTTTCTTTCACTGCCAGCCAAATGGTCCGTAACTGATGAAGCATCTCAAGGCCGTAGAGCCCTGGTCCACTCGGCTGCTGAAGTAGCTTCTTAGTGCCAGAGCTCACGATGATGGGGCCTTTAACCATTCTATCAAAGATGAAAGCTTCGCAAGGCCGCCGAGTTAGGTTTACGCCTTTTGTGCGTGGGAATCATAGCCAGGCTGTGGGATCGGACAGGATGGATCCAAGCAACTTTGGTGGCTCTTGATTGGGGGTTAAAGGGAGCTTGGCTCCTCAGACAGACTTTCCTGGTAAACTCATTTCTACAGTACTTTTAGAAGAAACATATATCATGAATTTGAATGATAGCCTTTTCTAACCTATATTTCTATCCGTCACGGTTGGATTCTATTGGAAGCTCACTGGTGGCAAACATTCGCAGATGTTATAAAGAAGACCATTGTGGGGACCCATGTCCCAGAGTCTTCCCATTATACTCAGAACAAAGAGCCACATAAAAGTCACACTTGACACACACTCAGAACCATTGTCTCAGTGCCCCCCGTTCAGTCCTCCTTCTGTAGCCTTATGCAAAAAACCAAAAGACTGTTCCCAAGGAAAGCTTTGAGGAAATGCACTAGTTTATTTTTTGAGTGGGAAGAAAGTTTCGGATAGGAAATGTTTGCACGAGTGAGAGGTGTGGAGATAATAATGAAAAATTGCGTAGCAGTGAAAACTAGCAACCTTGATCCTTACATGTGCATGTAAAGGGATCATGTATGTATAATTGTGGACAAAATACACAAGCTGTAAAAGAGTACTCCCGTATGAATGTACTAGTGTGCAGCACAGAGTTATGTAAAACAGAATTCTTCCGGGCAGAAGCAGGGTGACCTGGAAGATCACTGCATTCAGGAATGCTGTTCTCTGACGTAGGAAAGGGACGAGCTCAAAGGAGAGGTGTGTGAACTGTAAAGAAAAGTGGGTATATTTGATCTCCCCAGCCAAGGGAGGGGCACACGCATCTACATGCCATTATTTTCTGTGTTCGTGTGGTGTATATATGCACGTTCCTCTGTGGATGCGTGTGTATGTGTGTGTGTCTGTCTGTAAAAACCAGAGGTTGATGTGATCATGTGTCTTCCCCTATGCCTCTTTTAATTTTTCTTGTTGGGACAGGATGATAGTTTCGTCTACCTGATACTGTCTTGAATGATTTGAGAAAGGTGCCTCAATGAGGAACTCTATATTATATTGGTCTGTGGGTGTGTCCACTATGTGGATGTGTCTACTATGTGGTTGTGTCTACTATAAAGGCGTGTCTATTAGGGATTTTCTTTTTTTTTAAAGATTTATTTATTATGTATACAGTATTCTGCCTGCATTCATATCTGCATGCCAGAAGAGGACGCCATATCTCATTACAGATGATTGTGAGCCACCGTGTGGTTGCTGGGAATTGAACTCAGATCCTCTGGAGAGCAGTTAGTGCGCTTAATCTCTGAGCCATCTTTCCAGCCCAGGGATTTTCTTAATTGTGTTTAGTGAGGGGGGGGGAGAACTGCTCTGAATGTGGGGTCGCGCTGTTTCACGGGCAGGCCCATGATGGAAAGGAGCGAGCTGGACACTAGCAGGCTGTGTGACGTCATCTGCAATCTGCTGAAGACTGAGGGTGTGATGTGGCAAATCTTCTTCAAGTTCCTGCTGCTTTGCTTTCCCCACAGACTGTGTGCCGCCCGGAACTGTGAGACAAGCAAACACTTTCTCCTCCAAGTTGTTTTCCTCAGGGTGTTTATCACAGATCAGACAGAGCTGCTCACTGAACCTGAAACTCACAGACTGACTAGGCTGCTGGCCAGTGAGCCCCGGAGACCCACCTGTCCCTCCTCCCTTCTTGCTCCTGGGTCCCTTGTAAGTGCCCACTGATGACGCTAAGACGGTAAATTGCTCCTGCAGGATTTCTCTCTACACATACAGAGGGAATGCTCTCCCTTATATTCTCTTCCCAAGCCTTGCTCTACCAGGAGCTCGGAGCCCCAATCCCCTCAACTGTGTAAACCTGTAATTATCTGTGAAGGCAGATCTTTCTCTTTCTGTTTGCTTTGTCTTGTCTTTATGAGTCAAGGTGCTGAACTTGGTCCCCCTCGCCGGAGGCTGACTAGCGAGCTGCGTCTGGCTGCTTTCTTAAGACATCAGTGTGTTATGTGGAGCAAACGAGAAAATCTGGGCCTGAAAACACCCCCCTTGGGCCCGGTGAAACACCAGTGGTCCTGCCGTGATTAAACGCTCATAGTGAGGCGGGCCTGGGAATTAATGATGAGCTGTGGAAACTGTGTCTGATACGTTGAAGGCAAAGGAAGGACCATGACTCCTCTAAACAGACCATCTCAATGCACCTCAGCGGATGCTCCCGCCACAAAAGACCCGATGGATTCTGATGTCTTTTTTTTCCTCTTTGTTTTAACTCAAATTACTAACCGCTTGTTCTTTTCTTCTTCTACGACAAAAAAGGGGGGGGGGAGGAATCTTCAAACAGTATTTCAGTATTTCTTTCTGAATCGTTCCCTCTTCTCCTGCAATTTGGGGATGAGAATGCTTCCATCTGACTGGGGGCTAGCACAATAGCAGAGGAACCAGAAGGGGCCAGGTGTTCCTGCTCCCATTGCTTGCTTGGGATTTGTGTCATTCTGGTCTCAAAAACCAGGAGCTGACACCCAGGTGCTGCAAAGTAAAAATTTAATAATGGCCGGGCCATATTTTCAGTCTCCCATAGTAGGAGAATGAAGACAGCCCAAATTAAAGGCAGGACAGCCTCTTTATACCAAGCGAGCGAGTGACTAAAAGCGGAATTTTGCAGTTGTTTCTAATGGTCATAGGAAAGCTACACGTTACGGGGTTCTGGTCAGACAGTTGACATACCACCAAAGATCTGATGTTCAGTCAATGTTCAGAACAACAGAAACCATTTATAATGTGTAATTCACGAGATTATTGAGGAAGAATCAGTCAAAAAAAAAAAGTTGGCCGTTAGCTAAGAACGTGACCAAAGTTGGACACTGTTTCACTGAAAGAAAAATGGGGTCAGCTGCCCCTTAACCGCTTCTGTTAATTATTTCAGTTTTGTGAGGCGTGTTTGGCATGTTTAGCGTTTTGGGGCAGCAGGAGTAGACGCTGGGGGAAGTGGAAAGTAACCGTTTTGTCCGGGAAGTTCTTCTCCCATTTTTCGTGAGTTGGTGTCTGCTTCTTTCCCTTCGTGTTCTGGGTACCTAACCATGTCTGCGTAGGATGGAGTGAGTAGCTGGAGAAAGGGAGCTACCTGGGGATGGGGTGGGGGAGACACACCTGCCCTTAAGATTTCAGCGCTCTGCTTTATTTTGTAAAGATCTACTTACCTTTGCACTGATGTGTGAGCCTTCACGTGTCCCGCCTGAGCGTAGGAGTCTCAGGAAGGTAGAAGAGGCCTGGAACCCCAACTACAGGGAGTTGTGACCACGATGGGGGTGCTGGGAACTGGAGCCGGGGTCCTCTGGATGAACAGCCAGAGCTCTTAGCCGCTAAGCCATTTCTCCAACCCCTTCAGCCCCACCCTTGTTTTAAAAGAACGACCCCCACGTGGGATGGATTCTTACCTGATCTCTGAGAGGCATGCTCCCCCCCTCCTCCTCCTGGTATGTTCACTCACTCAGGTGCTGATGCACCCTGCCCTCTGACTCTGACTCAACTGCTCCTGTCTCTCTGGAGGAAGATAAAACAGAGCCCTCAGCTTGTGCTGAATCCCAACAATGGCCCCACAGGGCCTGGCCTGGGATTGTTATCACTTCCATTGAGGAACGTGATTAGAGATGCTAGTCTTGTTTGCTGACTTATCCAGTCAGGGATAAATCAGAGCCTTTGTTTTTTTTCTCTTTGCCTCCTTAGAGCAACCCCTACACAGTTTCAGCCATAGTTCTTGAGTACAGATGTACTGTGTCCCAGAACACACACGTACCCCAGTAGGGTTCTGCATTCACACATGCAGACGGGAAAGCCACGGGGAGGATGCAGGGTCATGTAAGTGGATTCCTCTGAAGTTGAGGTGATTTCGTGGACGATACCCATCTCAGAAAGTCACCACCATTGATGAGTGAAGTACTGATCAGAACAGTATTTACCAGGGGTGTTTCTAATTCCTGCCACGGTCTTGTGAGCGTTGTCCCTCTACAGACGGGGAAGCTGTGGCTGAGAAGTTGCCTTGATGATCACAGTTCTAATGAGACAGAGGAGGGGAGGGAAGCAATTGAATTAGATGGTGTCCGTCTCTGGGGAGGAAGTCACAGCAGTTTGGTGCAGGAGAGAAACTAGCCAAGTGTTCTTTTGAGATGGGGATCTTGGGGTTGTCTTTGAGGTCAAGGGGAGCCTTCTCTGCTGTCCGTGAGCTTAGCTCAAGGATCTGGAGTGCCCGAGAACTTATTGGCCACCAAAGTGACACTAACCAGTAGCTTGTGGGAGTTTGTCTTATGAGCTCAAAGAATTAAATTACCAGATTACAAACTGTGAGTCATAGAGAAGTTTATTATAGACTCCTAGGAAGACTAAGTGTGCTCCTGTGTGCCAGGTAGGGGGTGCAGCTGGGGCAGGAAGGGTTCCCAGGAACAGGGTACCCTTGGGCAGTTAGTCTGAGGCTCTTCAAAGGCTGGTGGAGGAGAACCAGAAAGAAGCTGTGTCCAGACACTGACAGAGGCTGCGGAGCTGTGCAGGACTGAGTTGTTGCATGTCTAAAGGCTAGTTACCGTATCTTGGGCTCCTTATTCACCTGTGAGTTGGACTAGCATTCTGTGACTAACAGATTAAAACCTTAGCAGACCTCTAGTTTACTAGCCCCAAAGCTTAAGAGTGTCATAGATAGGAAAGCTTCCTCTGTCTTCAGTAACAGCCTCTCTGGTGTACCCACCAAGGTATTTTAAATCTGCTTTCATTCCTGGCTCTCTGCGTTCTGTCACCTATAAAACTTCATGAACCTGCGTCCAGTTTAT